TGTGATATATATGATGGTTTAATAAAGTTTACATAAAATAAGATATCTTTTTTATTATATTGTTATTATTTAATTCATTGTTAAAATTTAATTTTGTGGTTTTCTGCCAAACTGTATACGCGGTCGAGAATGAACATCGGGTAAAGATTATAAATGTTGAAATCAATATTTTATGAGTTTACATTATATTTATATATGATCGTTTTATTATTGCGAAATTCATGTTATAAAACTGTTATCGTTGTGCCATAATTGTTCATTTTTAAAAAACGTGTAATTTTATTTGTTTTTTTGTTTTGTATTTATTTAAAAAGTGTTAATTTTATACATGAATTATGTGAAGACAACTGAATTTTCATGATTTAAATAAATAATAATGATAAAATAAGATGAAAAGCTTTCAAAATATAATGAAATAATTTTTGTATCTTATATTTTTAATATTTGATTTAAAATGAGAATTATGAAAATATAATCCTCGGGGGGTTTTTTTTTTTAATTTACTTTTTTCTCAAAGTAAGTAAGTAATAGGATAATAAACAAAACGAGATAAAATTATAATATAATACTTTGAACTTTTTTTTTGAATATATTAAATTTTATAAAAGAAGAAAATTTTTTATAACTATTTTTTTATATAGAAATTATATTTCAACTCAAGAATTTCAAGTTAATTCAAATGGGGATTAAAATGAAAATATCATAATGAATATATCTATATGATAACTATGATAAACAAATTGAGCAGCTAGTTATATGCGATTTAGTGAAATCGTAATCCTACTTGACAGAATCCAAATCACATTGTTATCACGTAAATTGATAAATTCTAATATATAGAAAAATATGTATAAATTAAAATTATTTCCGTTACAATATTAAATTCTAATGTGGAAAAAATGTTTATAATTTTTCGTTTTTCTTTTTTTGCATATTTATGACTTTTTCCCCTTTATTTCCGATCTATTAATTTTTTTAATTTATAAATATTTATATCGATTCACTATATAATTATACAGTGAAAAAAAATTTTTTTTTATTTAATTCAAATATACTCGATTACTTGACTATTATCAAATAAATATTTATATTTGAATCCATTTGCATAAAATAAACTGTAATTGAATTAATAATTTCTGTATTTGAAACAAAATATCATTTATAATTGATTCAAATAAAAATTATTTGGTTCAAGTAAATATTTATTTGATAATTAGTCAAGTACAAGATTATTTGAATCAAATAAATTTTTTTTTTATATAACAGATATTATCGTCCTTTAATAACGGTAACTACTTTTAATGTTCCTTTTTTTTACTATACCTTCTTCATATAATCTTCTTTAACAATTTGGATAGTGTCACCTTCCAAGCATCCACTTTAGTCAGATTTCAGACCCTGCGAAGCAATATCTCAAGGATAATCAGGAGGACGACCTCGCATGTTATCAGGAAGCAAAAACAAAATTCCACATAAACGACCTTCATAAATCATGCAGCTTGCTGTCAAGACCTGGGAAGAACACAACGTAGTAACATACTCATCGTTTATATATATATATATATATATATATATATTGTATGTATATATATGATGCTGAAAAGGGCAGGTACAAGACTTTATCTTTTGTCTCTCTCTCTCTTTCTATATATATGTATGTAGTGACGCCATTGGCTCTTTGCCTGCTTCATCTCTCTTACTCAATGGGTAAAAGGAAGAAGTATATTCGATCGCTTTGGGAGATAACTTACTAAAGTAATTTGTCAAGATCTGCAGCATAAAACCCCTCTTCTAAAACCCTTTCGTCTCGGAAGTCTCTTTCGCGTCTCTAAAGAGCATTTCGTTCTGTTTCCTTCGAATTTAGATGATCCACTCTTTGTTACTAAGCATATATTTTCACGTTTATATGCAATTATAACAATATAGGTGAAAGTCTAACTTTAGATAATTTACGATATTCGGTCGATAATTTTTAGACTTTCATTACAACGGTGTTTTACTACTGAAATTGAAATTAATAATTATAGTAACACTAAAAATTGTCGGAATTTCTAATTTTTTGTCTGACTAAAACAATTGTTTTACTACTAAAATTGAAATCAATAAATAATTACACTAATAACTGTTGAGAATTTTTCACCTTTTTGTCTGACTAAAACTGTGTTTTACTACTAAAAACCAAGTCAATAATAACTAATTTCTAAATTTTTTTGGATTTTGTAATGCCTTGTCTGGCTAAAACGACGTTTTACTACTGAAAATAAAAATAAAAATAACAAACTAGCACAACTGGAAGAAATTTCAACCGTTTGTCTGACTAAAGCTGTGTTTTACTACTGAAATAAATAGGAATAATTAGTAATTTCTAAAATTGAGGAAATTTTTTAAAACATTGTCTGACTAAATCGATATTTTACTACTGAAAAAAGAAAAAAAAACGCAAAATTTGAAGAAATTTTAACATTCTGTCTCACTGAAACTGTATCTTACTACTGAATTAAAAAACCAATTTTTAATAATTCCGAAATTTCATCAAATTTTTGAACTTTTTGTCTGACTAAAAACTGTTTTTACTACTGAAATAAAAAATTAATTATTAGTAAATTCAAAGTAGTAGAAATTTATAATGTTTTGTCTGACTAAAACGGTGTTTTACTACTAAAATTGAAATGAATAATTATCGTAACACTAAAAATTGTCGAAATTTGTAATTTTTGGGCTGACTAAAACTTTGTTTTACTACTGAAAACCAAGTCAATAATTAATTTCTCAATTTTTTCAATTATGTAATGCCTTGCCTGACTAAAACGACGTTTTACTACGGAAAATAAAAATAAAAATAACAAACTAGCACAACTGGAAGAAATTTTAAACATTTGTCTGACTAAAACTGTATTTTACTACTGATAATTAAAACGATAAAGATTTAAACCGTATTAAAAGGAAAATTGTCAGAATTTGCATATTTATGTCTGACTAAAACGGGGTTTTGTTACTGAAATTGAAATTTATAACTAGAAACCCCAAAAATTATCGGAATTTGTATATATTTTTGTCTGATTAAAATCGTGTTTTTCTACTGAAAACCAAGTCAATAATAACTAATTTCTCAATTTTTTTGGATTTTGTAATGCCTTGTCTAACTAAAACGACGTTTTACTACTGAAAATAAAAATAAAAATAACAAACTAGCACAACTGGAAGAAATTTCATCCGTTTGTCTGACTAAAACTGTGTTTTACTACTGAAATAAATAGGAATAATTAGTAATTTCCAAAATTGGAGAAATTTTTTAAAGCATTGTCTGACTAAAACGATATTTTACTACTGAAAAAAGAAAAAAAAACAAAAACGCAAAATTTGACGAAATTTTAACATTTTGTCTCACTGAAACTGTATTTTACTACTGAATTAAAAAACCAATATTTAATAATTTCGAAATTTCATCAAATTTTTGAACTTTTTGTCCGACTAAAAACTGTTTTTACTACTGAAATCAAACATTAATTATTAGTAAATTCAAAGTAGTAGAAATTTATAATGTTTTGTCTGACTAAAACGGTGTTTTACTACTGAAACTAAAATTAATAATTATATTATAAACAACACATATTTACTTCAAAAAAAAATCTACCAATTGAATTTAAATTGCAATAGAATAAGAATAATCAATTTTATTTCATATTTTTAGAAAAAATGTTCTCTTGGAAAATGAAAAAATCCCTTACAAAAGTCAAATAAAATTAATTCTGCATGTCTCTATTATTTTTTTTACCTATTTTTACACATATTACCTTAAAAAAATGAAAAACAATTTTTTTTGCAACACTAACTATCATAAATAACTATTTTCCAATTTATGTCTTACTAAAATTGTCTTATACTACTTATATTTATCATAAGAAATTCCACCGTTCTTTTCTGTTATTAACTATGTTTTTCTACTGCAAACGAAATTTTCATAAATTCATGTCTGACTAAAATTGCCGTTTACTACTTAATTTATAAGAAATTCCATCGTTTATATTGTCTGACATTAAATATATATTTTTCTATACTGCAAACGAAATTTTCATAAATTTATGCCTGACTAAAATTCCTCTTTTACTACTTATTTTATAAAAAAAAATTCCATCCCTCTCGTCTGACATTAAATTTATTTTTCTACTGCAAACAAAATATTCTTTACGTGTCTGACTATAAAATTGTCTATGAAAATATATCAAAATTTAAAAAAAAAATTCCCCTTCTCTATAAATTTTTTTCACGCACAAAAAAAGTTGATAATATAAAAAAAAAATTGATTCCCGTTAAAAAGAGAAATTCCACAAGCAACCTCCTTCGAAATGAATTTGATATAGAAGTAGTGGTTGAATAATTTTCAATCAAGGAAGAGTGAATTCTCTCTTCTCCCCCCCTCCCTCTCTCTCTCTCTCTTACTCTTTCCGCAAGGAATTCAGCGCAAGGGAGTATTGCATATAATGAGGAGGCTGTTGAAAATCTCGTCTTCCTGAACAACCCTAAAGAGGCATCTCTCCTGTGAATGTATATATGCGCGAGGATATAGTATAACCCCGCAAGGATGTCTTTTGCTCTTTCAACACACAAAGGGGAAAATTGTGCACACGCATAAGAAAATAAGGAAATCTTTGTGATGATGATGGTGACTCGAATTGAAGGGGGGTTGGAGGAGGAGGAGGAGGTTGGAATGTACTTGATTTCTAGTTAATAAAACGTTACGATAAAGTGATACGATGATATATATCACAGCAGAACTATAGTATAGGAGGGACAAACATGTATATATATATGTGTTAGGGTGAGAAACGGGACGAAGCAGAGACGATGAGCTTGAGGGATCGGGGAAAAGGGCGCAGCCGCGAGGCTGGAACCACCCTCGGCTGCAATCCTCCCCCCCCCCCTCCCTCCCCTCAACCCCCTTCGTCACTACCGCGCCTCTCGTCGCTCCACGACTTACTCACCCACTCCTCCTCTCCCCTCCAACAGACTGCACATCCACCACACCGACATAACGAAACAGACTCCTAGGCAGTGGGGTGCGGGTCAGTTTCTCGATCGTCGTTGCCGGTTAATGGTGTGTGTCCTGTTTTTGACTAAAAAAAAAAGAAAATTATCTTCTCCTTAATATTTGTGCGTGAAAAAGTGATTTTGTTTGTGAAATCAAATTTTTTAGTCATTTTTTTTGATAGAAGTTAGAGAGAAAAAGAGAAAAAGAAAGAGAGAGAGTTGCGCCTTGTTTAAAAGTGCACCGGTTTATATGAGTGCTACTAGTGTTTTCTTAGAGTTCACAAATGTAATTCTTCTTCTTCTTATTTAATTCCTGATTTTGTGAGAAATAAAAGTTGAAAAAATCGAAAGGAATTTTTTTTTTCTTTTTTTTTTGGTGAGAAAATCTATTTTTCCTTCTTGGAGAATCCGAAAAAACGATGGTTCATACGTTCCAGGACGAATGATATTCTCGCCGATTGCAGAAATAGGTAGGTCACGCTAAAGAATGGCTTTCTAGCATTTCTAAAACCCCCGTGAGAGCCCTTTCAACACACCCCTTTGATGAAAAGGATCTTTTTCAATAATTTTTTTTTTTTAATTCTATATTCATTTTTCTTTATTATTTAGATAAAAATGATTATTTATAAAAAGGACTTTAAAGAATATGTATATATTTCTTTATATAATGTAGAAGAGGAACAAGTTTTGTAGAGCTTTGCCAAATAAACAAACAAAGTTTACCTCGATTCGCGTGGATTTCCGTCACTAACACATATATTTTATGCATGATGATGAATAAGAACCTTTCTGACAGAAGTTGCCACAATTTCAAGCGGGATTACCTTTTTCTCTCAATCTTTTTTCTTCTCTTTTTTTTTCTTTATTTTATTTCACACAATTTCTTTTTATTAATACAGTAAAATGATTTGATAGAATGCAAGAAGAAAGAAAATATAAAATATTCTCTTTGTTTGAATTTTTGTGTTATACAATTTTTTGATTTAAACAGAAAAAAGAAGAGAGAGAGAGAGAAGAAAAAGAACTAAAATTGTAATTTTGCAAAAAGAAAATTTTTTTTTTTTAATTGCAGAGGTAAATTTTTTTTACACTGAAAAAAAAAATTTATTTGATTTAAATGCAATTTCAAATAATAATTATTTGATACAAATACAAATTTAATTTCAAGTAACCGATTATTTGAATTAAATAATTTTTTTTTTCCAATTTCATTAACTTGAAATATATTTCAATTAATCAAATTTTTTAATTAAATAAAATTAAAAGTTTATTTGATTCAATTAAATTCTTTCTTCGTTTGAAAAAATTTTTTAAAATAAACCAAATGTTTATTTGTGTATTAAATAAATATATTTATTTAAATCATATTTATTTGAATTAGAAAAAAATTTTTATTTAATTCAAACAAATTTTTATTAAATCATACAAATTTTGTTTGATTCAAATAAATTTTACATAAAATAACCAAAAAATTGTGTTAATACAAAAAAAATAGTATATTTGGTTCAAAAAAAAAAAAAAAAAAAAACTTATCTCTCAAAATATTTTTTTTCGACTAATTTGAATGAAAAAGAAAAAAAAAGTTAGTTAAGATTTTAACTTGAGATTGATTAAACAATGAGTATTTAAATTAAACAAAGTGCAATCAAGTAAAACTTGTTAAGAAAGAATAGGACTGTTTAAATTTTAGTTCTTGTTCAAATCCTTCATTTCATGGACCAGTTGAATTGTTATACTTAATTAATGGATAGAATTCAACATTTCAGGGGAAATTTTAGTAAATTTTAAAAAATTTGTAAATTATTAAAAAAATTTGTAAATTATTAAAAAAAAGAATATTTTTTTTTTAAATAGGAAGTAATATAATATTAAAAAGCATCTTTTGAACACTGTAAAAACCGTCATAAAATGTTCCTTGAGAGTTCATGAGACGTTCCAGATCGCAAACATAAAACCGGACGTCTTAGTCGTTTTACTTTTTTTTTTTTTTTTTTACTATATCCGGTTTTATCGTAAAATTGAATTCTAATATACAGCTCAATTTGTTTATATTAAAAACTCATTAACTTACGTATTATAAATTATGAATTATATATAATTACCATTTTTTTTTTATCACAAAAATAATTTATTCAAAATAATAAAATAAACACTTTTTTTTATCCAACAACATTTTTTTAATATAAAGCAAGCAAACAATATAGAAAAAAATATATATATAAAGAATAAAATTTTACTACTCTTTCCATTTCTAAAGTCAGCTTTACTTTATAGAAAAAAAAAACTTCTTTTAAAGTATATATGGAAATATTTTTTTAAAAAAAATTTTTACTTCTGATATATGTAAATAAAATAAAGACATCAAAATTTTATTTCCCTTACATTTGTTATTCTTATATAGAAAAATATGAAACTTTTTAAAATATAGAGTTTAATTTACTATATATATATTATAAAAAAAAATTTTTCCTTTTCTTTTGGAACAATTAAATAATAATAAATTTCAATTAAAAAATACTTTTTTGGAAATAAATGACAAAAAAAATTTTTTTTCAAAATTATTTTGATTGATTTAAAAATAAACTCATCTTTTAAAGCAATATATATATATATATTTGAATGTAATAATTTTATTCATAAATTATTGTATAAATTTCGCACGCAAGATTATTCTAAATTTCCATGACTGTGGTAAATTTACACAGATATATCAAGCTGAAAATATCACATAATTTCTAATGTAAACTAACCACATGCATCACTGCACTTTTATGTCCAGTTATTTCTGATGTGCAATTTTTTATCTTCCGAATAAAATTTTATTAAAAATTAACATAAATTAACAATATTATTATTATATTATAATTTTTTTTTTATTTAAATAATAATGATGATAATAATAATAAGATCCAAGATTTATTTGAAAAATATAATAATTATATGAAAGAAAATTGATAAAGAAATATTTAATAAAAAGTATAAATATAATTGATCGAGAATATGTATATCATTATTGCAATATAAATGTAATTGGTCAAAATATTTCAATTTTACAATATTGATATTCCAGTTAGCGTTTTTGGATAAAAATGTAATTGTATTTTAAAAGGAATACATATCATTCAATTAATTTATTTGTGTTTTTTTTTTTACCACATAGTCAACCTGTAGCTTCGATTAAAAGGTTTCCTCCTAATTAACTTTCACGAGTTTTGCGTGAAATAAAACAGTCCCAACATTTAAAATTTATCCCTGAATAATAAAAAAAAATTTTTTATTAACAAATCTTATTACAAAATTTAAAAAAAAATTAATTTCAAACTTTATTTTATTTAAACAAAAAGAAAAACTTCCACCTCTTTTTTCTTTCAAAAAAAATAATCCATTTAATTAGTGTTAAAATATTTTAATTTTGTATAAATTTTTTATAAATATATAAAAATTGTTTAAAGGGAATAATTGAATTTTCTTTTTTTAAATAATACTTAGATTTCGAACGAAAATATTTAAAAATCAATATAGAATCTTATCACAAATATATTTATAGTGTATAATTAAAATTAATTTTAGATTAACAAATATCAATATAAAAATAATTGTCCTTTTCATCGAAAAAAAAATTAATATCCGATTTCTAATATTAACTACACGAAATAGGAAAATTAAGTTTTGATTTAATTTTCAATTCCACTGAACAATTTTCTCTAATTTTATATATACATCTCGACATTAATTATTTCCGTGAGAGTTTTGTTTATTTATTTTTACTATAATTGAATATTCATCTATGTAAGTATTTATTTTGTTTTCTAATAAAATTCCAACAGATGCTATTATAATTTTTATTTTTTTTAACGATTTTTATTTTATAGAAATTCAAAAATTATAAACTAATAATTTTCTAAAAAAATTATGTTTTTTTTAAACTATTTTTTTATAATAAAAATTAAAAATTCAAAATGGCATTTATCAAAGAAAATAAACTTTTTTATTATTATTATTATTTTTTTTTTTTTTTAATTCAAAGTAAAAAAGTTTTTCTTTCATGCAAATTTTGTACTAATTTTCTTTATTCTTCCACCGTTAATCCACATTTCTCGCGCGCGCAATTTCCCCCTCCCTTTTTTTTTGTCTGTCTGCATTTTTAACACACTTTTAAATAATCCGTAAAAGTCTTGTGCCAATGGGGAAGGATAAAACAAACTTTCTTAACTTAGCTACTTCGTCTTCGTGAATTCAACGTGTGAACGAATGAATCGCAATCTGATCTTGAGTTCGCTTTCCTTTCTAATCCTGATTTACTAACGATTTTATCAGGAAACTGCTCGCTTAACTAGTTATATCTTTATACCTATATACTATAACGAAAGAAGTCTGAAATAAAGAAAAAGATTTAGATAAAAAAGTAAATGCCAAAAAAGTATTTGTGACATTTGCCAGCGATAAAGTTTCTTGATAACAAATTTCATATTGCACATACATACAGAGAAATTTTATTCTCAAAAAAAAAAACCCTTTCTTTCTAATCCAATTTTCAGAAAAAAAAAATATGTCATTTCCAAAAAAAAAAGAATAAATAGAAACGAAATGAAATGCTTGAGGCAAAATAGAGAAAATTCTCTTTTCTATATATATATATATATATATACATTTATTGGAAATTTTACGTTATATGTAAATTCAACGTATGTAGCTTTTTCTAAACCTTATTAGATATACATTTTCACATATGTGAATATACGCGCGTTATTCATAAAACCATTACTTTTTATAATGAAAAAACAATTTTGAAAATAGCTTTGAGTTTCATGGGGAAAAAAAAAAAAAATAAACTTCGAGTTTATCGTACTTTCAAAGAAAGTGTATACTATATAAATATCTAAACTTGTATAATATTTGTGAAAGGGTTTTGAAACGGGAAGTTTAAATACACAATAAAGTTATACTAAATTCGTGAGAGAGAAAGAGAGTTTATTTAATATGTTTTATCAGCAATTAATTATAAATATTATATGCGATTATTTTAAACTCATATAAATATACTAATAAATAAGATTTTTATCTTAAATTTGTAAATTTATTTTCTATACAATTTAATAGTAATGAATTTCCACATTAAAAATTAATTATATTTTCAAATTTTGATGAATTCGGGTTCGTCTTTATCTATAAATAAGAAATGCAACAACAGTTTGTGTTTTATTTTTTATTCAATGGAAACCTGTATTTTTAAAAATCACATTTTCTTTTCTTTATTTAAAACGTGTTTAAAAAAACATTCAACTTCTTAGGTATTTTATTATACTCTCTGCTAAAATCACAATGACAATTTGTAAATGATTTTTCAATTAATATTATTTTTAAAAAAAATTGTTTTTTAGACAAATAATTTTTTTTTCATCTTCACAAAATATAGTTTTGTTTTGAAAATTATTAAAAATTTTATATTTATAAAATTACAACTTTTGTG